ATAATCTTAACAGTTTACTGTTTTGTATGATGTTTTTCAATCACATAAGTTACATAGACTTTGTTTTAAAAATCCTTATCTGAGAATAAATACGTCTCTGATAACTAAATTGGATTTGTCACATAACTTTATTTATTAATTATGTAGATAAAATTAATAAAACATTATATTATTATTAAATGAAAGATTAGATTAATGTTAATGTAATTAAAAAGCAATTGCTTATATTTTTTTTTGTATTAAAAAGAAAGTTTCATTGCAAGAAGAAATATTTATTCATTGATTCCAACATAACTGCATCCATTAAATAAAATATTAAACTGAAAACGATCCTTTAATAGCCAGCAAAGGATTAAATTAGTGTTTTCACAACTATCATCTGTAGCAATCTTTATGTTTAACATGTTGACTGCCAACTACAACTCGTAGTTTGCATTATTGCCTAGGACACCACCTACGAGTTATCTCATAGTTTTTTACTTGCCATATTTGTGCAGCTACGATGAAATTTGTAGTATATCAGTGAAATATTCGTAGATAGCCTCAGGGCAAGAACAAAAAATCAAGGTTGGCTTACATGAACAGAGCATTTATTAATAAATGAACAGAAAATATAATCAGAAAAAGTTTATTCAAAAGCAAAAGAATTTTTTTATTGTTTGTGATAATTTTTAAAGCAATCTTTCACACAAAGGGTTGGCTTCTCTGGACAGAGACAGAAATAACACGTTTCTCGGTGTTTTTTTATCTTTGGTACATTTTCAACATGGCTTTGTCAGATGCTGTTTTTTTTTTTCGGTAGGTGGGATACTCTGTAAATAATGAAGCTCTTGCAATCTAATTTTTTTTTTCAAACTGGTTGAATCTCTTCTCCAATCAATGTGTTGACAAATGCTTCTCTAAACTTTATAAGTTTTATTTTAGAAGAAGTTGCTTTTTGAAAAAGTTGTGTGCATTGTGTATATATATCTCTATAATATGTAATGCAACCTTTTTGGGCCATCTAATAGTCTTTCTTAGAGCTGTGTAGTACAATAGCATTTGATCTGATTGGTCAATGCCAGACATTCCTTGATTGTAATCTCGAATTATATTCAGTTTCATCAAACGTTTTCCATTGCAATTGAACACCTCTACCATTTTAACAACATGCATGTTTGAAATGGTAAGGACTTCTCATTTGTCTTTCGATTTACATACAGTAACAGGACCATTTTGCTGCTAAATAAACTCCCCCTTTTTACCACATCTCTGGGATCCCCCCTTTGTTATTTCATAGAGTTCCACACACAAAGTTTTTCGTGTAGTCAGTAATTTCGTAAGAGCAACAGAATTATATTAATTATCTATGTATACTGTATATCTCTTATTGAGATAGTCCTCAAGTAAGTGTAAGGCATCATCAGTAGTGTGACTATCTGAGGGAACTGACAGTAATCTTATTGTCAATTCCCTCAGATTTTCTGCTGTAAATTGTTATTTTCATAACACCATCAGATTCACATAATTCATACAGTTTGACACTGTATTTGTGTTTTTTATTTTTTATGTACTGGCGAAAATACAATCTTTCATGCCACATCATCATTGATTTGTCAGTACACATATTTTTATCTGGCACATAGTTTTGGTGCATGATATTATTGAAATGATTTAGTATCGGTCATACCTTATATAATCTGTTGGAAGATGGTATTGAGCTTTCAACTAGATGAATAAAACGCAGTAACAATTGGAATTTATTTTGACTCATATGTGATCACCAAAACATTATATTATACAGTTTGTTTGTACTCCAGTAATGTTCTATTGAAGGAAAAGAACAAGGGCCCATTTGTAATACAAGTCCAATAAAAACTTTTATTTCTGCAGTGCTGACGTCTTTCCATTGTAATACCTTTTCAGATTTTTTTATTTCTTTATGTTTTGCAATTTCATGTGCAGCATACAAATTTGTTTGTTCGACTAGTAATGCAATTCTTCTGAAAAAGTAATGCAAATTCTTCTGAAAAAATAAGTCCACCAGCATTTGCACTGTAAGATTTGTCGTATCCAATTTCAAACCAATATTTTCTTGGAAAATAAATAGTTCAGGATGTTGTTGATTTTCTGTCCACAAATTATTGTTTGGATTTGATGTGGTTGCTTGAGAAGCATCATGATTGCCTTCAGGTTCAGAGACGACTTCATCATCACTGTCCTCACTTGAATCCTCAGAAGGTACATAATCACTACTATTGTTACCATCCTCGCCAAAAATCTCATTGGATTCTGAATCACTTAGATTAATATAGTAATTAAGTTGTTTTCCAGTCAGTGGTCTTTTCTTATCCATATTGGTGTATTTATAATTTGATTATAAAAATAATTATAAAACAACACACTCAAGAAAGACGTAAATGTGATGTGCTCAACTCTATCTGATTTATTACTAACGAATTTAGATGCTTATCTCTGACTTGGCTGTAGCAAAAAGCTTTCTGTTACATAAGCCAACTATGGGATAATTCATAAGATCTTTTTTTAAAAAAAAAAAACCATTCTATATGCTTTTGATGATTACTATGTACTATAATTAGAGTTTTTAATAATATAATATAATTAAATTAAGTTGGCTTTTTACACCAGAATCCTGAAAAGTACCATGGCAGTCAACATGTTAAATCAACTAATTGAAAAGAGACAGTTATGTTTAGTCTTAGTTAACTTTCTTAAGTCCAAGAATAGCTGCCGAAAGTAGTCAAAAACATTTGTTATAATTTAATCCGTTGCAGAAAATTAAAAATTTTGTTTTGTATCATTTAGTTTAGATTAAGATAAACTCATTTTCTCCATTTTGTACAATTATCAATTTATCTAAAAACTGTAATATTTAAAAAAGTTACAATATCAGATCATATGGCTAATTCCTTAATGATATAATTAACGGCGAACACAACCAAAAATAGGAAATTCAACAAATCAGTTACAGGGGTGGTTTCCCTCATAACAAAACTTTCACGCGCCTGATATCCCGACTGCATCCCTGGAATTAATGCACGTGCTGCGTAAACCTGCTTTATATATTTCAAGAGTCTCCATGGCTTTCAGTTGATCTGTATGATGAGATCCTGATCATACGGGCACTTTGTAAGTAAGCCGTGATTCCCGGTTCCGTGGCAACCATTGATAGGGCGGTGGTGTGTTTTTTATTGTCAATATTGTATTTATGCTCCCGAAGCTGTTTGTGAAGGGAGCGTTTGGTTGATCCCACATAAACCAAACGGTTGTTAAATCTGTCATCCCACATAGGGACGGTGTATACCCCGGTGCGTGTTTCAAGTCAATTGCAACCTTTCCGTTGCGAAGCCGTTTCGCAAATGAGTGGTTGCGCGTGCGCAACGTTCCGTGTTTATTCTTAAGTTTGTTTTTCGAAATTTTGAATCGCTTAAAGTTTGTTTTAATGTTCTGTTCCATACGCATTCGAATTCCTTATAAACATAGCCTGATGAAGACCCGGATGGGGGTCGAAAACGTTCGCTAATGTATAAAGCAAGTATCACTGGAGTTACGAAGGTTTTTGTGAAAGTATAAATTTTTTTAGTTTAATTTCTATGGAAAATAATAATAATAATATTTACATTATTATTATTAATTAAAATACTTATAGATAATTTTGTTTTTATGCAATTTCCTAATTTATCATTTCTGATATTTTTATAATACAAGATTATATAAATCAATCTGAGGATATTCTGTTGTTATTAATTAACAAAAGTACAAAGTAACCTTTTCTTTTATTATATTATTATTATATATTTTTTTGCATATTAAAAATACTCAATCTCTAAAATGAGATTCTGACCTACACTGTGATCCTATCAATTTGTGTAAATCACATTTAAAGATAATTTGATAAATAATGTTTTCAGAAACATAGTGATCCTGAAAACCTCTTATAAGTTAAAAACTTATAAATAGGAATAAGCATTTCTATTATTTATTTTGGTCAAAATTTGATCCTCACTCCAGCATAATCCACTCACTCTATCCATATTTCCAAATAATATAAGTGATACAAAATATTTATTGACCTATTAACCACTGATTCTAAATAAAATAAATGAAAGTGTTTATTAAGTTAATTATTGATGTAAAAAAGTTTAACATGAAATGAGAGAAGTGTATACAACATAAGAGAAGCAAACACATTAAATAAAGAAATTTTAATAAGTTATGGTAAGAAAACAATAGTCGGTTAAGACAATAAACGAGCAGAAAATGTAAAATAGAGTAAAATTACAATTTCATTAATTAATAGACAACTTTATCACCAATAGAAAAGATCTGTAATCTGTAATGCAGAGATAGTGTAAAATTGTTTTAGTCAAGGTGCTTTAAATAATTTATGGTTTTGAAGGAAGCAGCTCTACTAGTGCTGCTTCACAGTTTGTAAATGCTATTTTGTATAAATCAATGCTAACTCATAATTGTAGCTAATAATATAAACATTGTAATATCAAAAGTAACAAATAACATACATAGTCTTCAGTCCAAAAAATTTTACAAGTATTCTGCCTCATGGCAACCATCTTGAATTTTGTCTACTGCACTAATTTAAAGTAGAAGTCACTAAATTGTTCTTTAATAAAGCCACTTTAAGCATTTTTACTGGGCAAAGTTCATTAAACTGTACAACTTTGGAAAAGATAACACTATCCCAGAGAATAGACACAGCTTGAATGAACAAACAAAAAGACTGGAACCCATGAGTCATATAATTGGAACCCAAGAAAATTTCAATCTGGTTTCATTTGTGGTTACAATATTTTGTTCTCATAAATATCAATCAGCACTTGTATTGAGAATCTCATCTTATAAATTGAGAGAGAGAGAGAGAGAGAGAAAATGAAACAACTTGTATCAAATTTACATATATTGAGTACCCATAAATCAGTGTCATACTATATTTACAATATTTTAAGATAAATCAACATTTTAATTTTAACTGAATTATAAAGATTGAAACAAACTGTAAAGAAAGAACAAATTGTCTTAGATTTGGAGGTTATAAAACTTATTTAGTTTAGCATTTTCATATCATCATGTTGCCCTCAAAAGTATTGTCCATGTTAGAATTAACTTGTTGAATTGAACTATTAACAAACAGATCTAATCATATATAATTCACAGTGAACTAAACATTTAACATAACATTTAATTGCAAATATTTTCATTCAACATAAGCTGAAAATGTTTGCATCATCATTTTATAACATTTTACATATATTAAACTTTTCCAATATATTGACTACTTTGACAAAATTCATATTTAATACATAATAACTTATTGATATGATATGATATAATAATATACTCACGGCTACTTTAGGTGGATTGAATTCAGTATGATAAACTCTTCCGCTTGAAAGATGTATATATCTTCCTTTCACTCTCTCTATGATAATGTCATCTGGAACATCCAGTTTAATAACGCAAGAAACCGGAAGAATTTCATCCAGATATTTTGCTTGTGGAACGGTACGAGGAAATCCTATTTATATATTTTTAATTAAGACGTTATTCAATTTCTATTTAGACTTAATTTTTAATTGAACTTTCAATAGAAAAGATATACTTCCCATCAAGTAATAAGCTAGGACTGTTACTCTTTATCAAAGAAGATATTTGTGAAGAAAATAATCTTATTGCTAAATCATCGGGAACTAATTTTCCTTTCTCGATAAACTTTTTTGCTTCGTTTCCGGCATCTACAAATATGACAAATTTGCAAAATTAATGTTCTACATATTTTAACCATATGTACAGTACCAAATAGATAAATATATTATACAAATTTTTTTATATTATGTCTATAACCTTTTTTAACTTCCTTTCCTTTACATAGAACCCTGCTAACATGAACAATTCAGAAAAAAAAAAGCTAGTATTAGTAAACTTACTGAAACTTTAAACTGGTATTGGTGTCAGAGTTTTTTTTATTTAGTATGATCAGTTTTTTGAGTGTNTTATAACATCAGACTTTATCATTTAATAAATTAAAATAGTTGTTATTATTACATGAAATCCCTGTTAGATTGAACTCAGATAGTTCAAAATCCCATTAGTTTGTAACTGTACTTTTGTCCTGACTGGAAATATAGAGATTTGCACATTAAGAAATTTGGTTACTTTGAAATACAGCTACTTAGAAATTTGAAGTGAAAATTCTGTCCAAACTGTGATATGTATATGTTAACTCTTTTGTTTAGATCAAAGTGCCTCCATGCTATAAGAGAACAATAGACCAAGAACGATTCTAATTTAGTCAAAAATGTGTTGCTTTTATACTAACACATTTTTGGGTGTCACCTAACCTTTTTTTTCCTCATCTCATAAAATATGACTGAGTTTTGGGATTGAAAGATTGGGCTACAAGTAGCAGAGTGAGATATTTGTAGGCTCTAGGCTACTACATTTGAGCAACTTACTACTTTTTGGGCCACTTTAAAAATAATTTGAGCTGCATTTAGAGAAATTCTGCTTTACTTTTTATAAAACCTACTGACAACCTGAGGTTCTTACTGGACATGTGCTGTTTATCTTCACATTTATATTATTATTATTATTATTATTAATTTTTAATTAACAAAAGTAGCATTCTGTACATGTATCCATATTTCATTTGCTTAATAAATTATTTCTATCAAAATTTGTTTCCAAATTTCTAGAAACAATTATCAATAAATTCCTCACCATGCACGGAAAGCTAGAACTTCTTTAAATCAGTTTTACAAAACCTTTTTACACATTTTCTAACAGTTTCTTGAGAGAACAAACTGGATTCCTCACCACTATCTTCCTTTTCTCAATGTCTTTGGATAATCCAGAACAAAAGTTAGATCTGGTTGGTTAGGACTAACAATCTGCATATTTTCCTATCTCACTTTATTTATTCTTGCAAAACATATAGAGTAGAGCGTCGTTTATCTGAAAGAATTCCAGTCAGCAAATTTAAATTTTCGCTAGTGCTGTGGTGTTGCAGTCTTTGGCTATATCTTGGGCTACTCCAATATTTTTTGTTTGTGTATGTGTTTTAGCTAGCAGCACTGTTACTTTTGTGTGGTGTTTTTCTGAGTACTGTGTGTCGTGCTGAATCGAGCGTTTTTGATACTAGATAACTTCCAAATTATAAATTTATTTTTGTTTTTATATTTTTCAATATATTTATTTTGTTTGTAAAAAATAAAGAAATAATTTTTAACGATAGCCACGATTATTATTTTAAAAAGTTTACATTAGGCTTAACATCGACGAAAATTCAACGCAAAGCGACACGCAATGGAGAAAAATTTCAACACGGGATAGGTTAATGTATTTTTTCGTACATAATCGGTTATCTGAAAAATAAGTTATCCGAACAACCCCAGTCCCCAATTGATTCGGATAAACGACACTCTACTGTATTAATATATGGTAAGTGTAAAAATAGCACAAACAAAACACATAACATGCAGAATAAAGAATAAAACAGAACACAACACGTGAATTTATGAGCCCTAAAGACTAGGGCTCATAAATTTACATGGGGGACTAGGTTTTCTTTATGAGCCCATCTTAGGACATCTTTTACTAACCAACAATACACTCTTCCATGCATAACATTCTCTGGCTCTTTAGTACTCTCAGAGTGGAAAAGGGCCTTAAAAAAAAATAATAACAATAATAATAATAATAATAATAATAATAATAATAATAATAGAGGATAATGCACAAGCTGGAACATTGTCATGTTGGAAATGCAATTGGCATCATCAAACAGGTTTCCCATTGAAGGTAATATAAAATGTTTCAAAATTTCTTGATATACAGTGGTACCTCAGCATACAAACGCCCCAGCATACAAAATTTTCAGGATACAACATAAAATTTGAACATATTTTTGCTCCACAATACGAACAAAAACTCACCATACAACATTACATTAGTTCGCAGTGCCATTTTTTATTCACTTCTGTTCGTTGGTCTCAGTCCACGTGTTTGCTTCGTCATGGAAGGATCTCACTCGATAAAGGAAATCTTGAGGTATTATCAGAAAGTGATTGATTTTATTGAAAAGAAACATCCCGAAAAGGTTCACACTGGCCATATTGCTGCTCAGAGTAATGACATTTGCCTAAGTCATTTTAGAAACATTTTAAAAAGTAGGCAAAGCCAAACCTCTTTGGATAGATATTCTACCAAGCGACCTCTATCCAGTCAGTGCTGGTAGAAGTGAAGGAAAGAAAGCAAAAAGCAGTGAATAAAAATTAAAAAAAATAAAATAGAAAATAAAACAACACTAATTTTTTAAAATCTTTTCTAAGTTATTTTTAAGTTATTGTTACATTATGTTATGTAAGTTAAGTTTTAGTATCATTTCCCTTCTCCCTCTCTTCTGCCACCAGTTTACACCTCCACCGTTGTCTATCCTCAAAGATAAAGTGCAAATAAAACTACATTTTTTTTATCAATTATTATTCTACTATGGTTATTTATACATTTACAATTACAAAATGCATTTTTTAGTGTTTTCCTTACTATAGTTTATTTTTTTTAATGTACTACTTAGCTTTGAGTGTTTTTTTTCGTGTTGGGACAAATTATTTGGTTTTACATGTAATCATATGGGGAAAAATGATTCACCTTATGACATTTTCATGATACGATCTCAGTGTCAGAACGGATTAATTTCATATCCTGAGGTACCACTGTACTGTTGAATTTATAATCACATGCAGCACTGTCCGTTTTCCAATGTCTTTACTACTAAGATCATTGCACTCTAGAAACTTTACTCACTTTTCACAGTAGCTGGAAGGAAGACTTCGTGTTTGTGTTTTGTTTTCCAAACCTTTATACCTTGGTATCCATAGGAAACAAAAACTCTCAACTCATCATCAAAAATCACATATGACCATTGCTCTTCGTTCCAGCAAATATGTTCTGTGCACCATTTAACTTGTTGTTTCTTCTGTGCAAATATGTATCAAAATGCAAGATTTTATTAACAATTCATTACCATCTCATGCAATCTTCTGGCAGTTGTTGTTAGAAATATTTTGCTGCCATGAGTTTTCCACAAATGATATTGTTTACAGGTTTAGAAAAGGATGGCTTTCACAATTCATTTTAACTGGTGGTCTTCTAAAGCAGATGTGCATCTTTTTTTTATCCTGCATTTCTCCTGACATTCTCAAAGCCAAAATCAAGATTGCACTTTATCTTTTCAAACAGTAATGCAACTAATGATATATGCTATAACTTTATGTGCTTCACCTTTATCTCTTAGTGAAACAATTGCTATTTCTGTTTAACCAAAAGTTCATTTCTTTAAGACATTTTACTTCAATTTGAAGAAAACAGTTAACACATTGTTTATGCAAATAAGTTTCCAAGACTAATTTGCATACAGAACAGTCACTTTTGCAGGTTTAATGTATTATTCTATTATTTTGGCACTGGAATTAAAGTATTCCAGTATTTTTCCTACAATGTGATTATTTTATCATCAAAAACCAGAATAAATAAATAATGTTTAGTACCATTGGAAAGCTTAATATATATGTTTATACTAATTACTCCTCATTAATCTGCAACTGTATTTTAGAAAGAGTTGTGCTACTGGTTTTTAATACTTATTCCAATATTTTGACAGAGTTGTAGGGGAGGGTGGGGATGAAAGGAACAGCCTCTATAACTTGCTGCTAAATTAGTTATGGAGCTTCACTATTTCATGGATAGATGAAACTAATAGTCCATAGTTTTCACATGTTTGTAGGGTCCAATACATAGTACCAGTATTTGGAATGCCTGGATAAGCAGAAAACGCATGCAAAAGTAAGTTTTTTCATTTCTTACATTTAGGGGTAAAATCTCTGAGTATGTTTGAGATTTTACCCCTAAATGTAAGAAATGAAAAAACTTGGATAATGTACTTAAATCAGGATAATTACTTTGAAACCTCTAAAATATGTTTATTTAATCAGTTTTAAATTATATTTCACTGTCAGAAAGTTAATTTGTAGTTTTGGTTGTTTGAGCCCTGGGGGTTGAAAGGGATAGTAAAATAGGAATGAATGGGATATGTCCCTTTCAACCCCATTTTGACATTTTTGGCATGTTCTAATGCTAAATTTTTTTAATAGAAAAAAATTGCCTCAAAAGTATAAAAAAAAAGAAACAGAAAGAACGTGAGACGCCAGAAGTGATTCAAGGGGGCAATAATTGAAGTTGTTAAAAAAGAAGCATCAATCAAGGCTACAGCCAGTGCCCACGGAATTGCAAAATTGCATTTGGCTAAACTTGTTTCAAAATATAAAAAAGACAATATAGTGTATTCACTGCATGTGGGTAACAGGAAAGTTTTTACTACAGAACGGGAGACAGAATTAACATCGTATTTAATGCAAGCATCATCAATGAGGACAAAATCTAAAAAGCAGCTGTTGCAACATATTCCAGAAGAAACTGAAAGTGAAGATGAAAGATCTCAAAGCAGCTCTTCCTCAACGTCTGATGCAACATCAAGTGAGGGATCTGATATTGAAAACACTGTCAAACATGTTCAGCCCAATGATTTCGTTTTAGTAAGATTTGCAAAAAAAATCTTGTTGTTGTTTACTTCGTGGGAAAAGTTTTGAAGAAACTGAGTGATAAAGACTTGAAAGTCAAGTTTATGAAAAAAATATTGGGATGTTTCAAGTTTATATTTCCTGAGGAGGAAAATATCAGTGATGTCACCATGGAAAATATAGTTTTAAAACTACCCCATCCATCCCAAGCAGGAGGAACGGCAAGAGCAAGCAATCATTACATTTCCCATTGATTTCACCTCATATCAGCTGGGATAAATTGCGAAAAACATTCTATTGACCAAAGAAAGACAGTTTAATTATGTGATAGCCTACTGATTGTGATATTCTTTAGTTATTGTTCTTTGTTTGAAAAGATTTGATATTCTTTGTTTTAAAAATATTGATAATCTTTAACTGTTTAAAATAGTTGTGATGTCACAAAATTCATATTATTAAAACTGTAATTTTTTAAAATTTTAGTCTCTAGCCTATCACTTTTCAGTTATAATGAAATTTGAAAACATTGAGATAGCTAATTCCAAGTTTTACATTAAAATGCGGGTAATCCCTTTCAACCCAGACATGGGAATGAAAAGGACACCTGGAGAGGTCTTTAAAAATATGAAAATGTTCAACTACCAGTATAATAGGATGAATTCACAATATGGTCAGAATAAAGTAAACGTCTAATGAATCTTTTGCACTAAAAATAAAACTGATTAGAAGTAAACTTTTTCAGTGAAAAATAAAAATATGAATTTTGTCCCTTTCATCCCCACCCTCCCTATAGTGGCTACTAATTATGCTAATAACTTAAATCTAAGATGTCAGATCTATATGTCATTTTGTAGATTAAATTGATGAATTTTATATTTATATAACATATTAAATGATTTAATGATTATTGAAACCTTAAGAAAATAGTTAAATGAATAAATAAGAAATTGATCAAAATTTTTCATTGTTTCATCAATAATAAAACAATAAGTTTACTGAAAATTTTCATTTTGATTATTATATATTATTAGAGTAAGCAAATATTAGGTAAGTATTATATATTTGTCATTCTATAAAATAATAATTTATGAAATGTAAATGGAACTCAGATTATCTATTTAGTTTCTTTCTGATATAAAAGTAGCTATATTTGAAAAAAATATTTTTATTTTTCAGATAATTTTAAAAATTTTCAAATAGAATGCACTCTCATTAATGTGAACCCATGTTTATCTGGACTCCACTTATTCCAAATCACTTTTGTTTAATTTTCTGTCAAATGTTCCAGCCATAGACAAAAAGAAATCATACATTATTTTTTGAAAATATGACAAATTTGCAAAATTAATGTTCTACATATTTTAACCATATGTACAGTACCAAATAGATAAATATATTATACAAATTTTTTTATATTATGTCTATAACCTTTTTTAACTTCCTTTCCTTTACATAGAACCCTGCTAACATGAACAATTCAGAAAAAAAAAAGCTAGTATTAGTAAACTTACTGAAACTTTAAACTGGTATTGGTGTCAGAGTTTTTTTTATTTAGTATGATCAGTTTTTTGAGTGTAGACAGAACAATCCATATACCCATCACACAGATTATATATACAGTGGAACCTCTATATTCATCATTAATCTGTTCCCAAGGACCTAACAAATATGGAATATGATGAAGATAGAAACAATTTTTCTCATAATAAATAACTGATATTCAATTAATCCGTTCCCATCTGAAAAAAAGATACAAGAATAAAAATTATTGTTTGTAAAACTTTACTGTATTTATTTAGTACAATGAAGATATAGTGGTAGAATGGAAAGAACAGTATTATTGTTTAGAAGAAGACATATCAATTAAAACATTAGGCAATTCCAATTATGATCATGGGGTCTGTTTTGCCAATGATTCAGTAGCACTCAATTTAATAAAGAACTTGTCTAGTATTGTGTTTTTTTGTCTGCTTTTTAAAACTTTTCAGAAGTAGGTAATTACATTATCATTGAATGTATTTGTATTTTGGTTGACTATAGCAACATTTGGGTGCCACTTTGGAGTGACTGGAACTTTGTTTCTCACATTGATTATTTTTCAGTAACTCAACAACAAACACGACGACCGTACAAAGCAGACTGATTAACTACAGTTAGCTAACACGGCTAGCTGATTGGCACGAGCGTGCAATTGTAGTGCCACTTCTGGTATTGGGAATGACAACGAATACAGAAAATACTGATGAGTATGGAAAAATAAAAAAGTCATCAAAATGTGATGAACATGAAATATTACAAATATAGAGGTTCCACTGCATGTATAAATATGCATTGTGCCTGTATGTGTGTATGCATGTGCATTGTCCTTTTTTACTTTCTTTTTTGACAGGTCTAAACAAAACTCTGGTAATTCAAACGATGCTGTTCGACAATCAATTTGGACCACCTCAAGAGTACTGTAATCTAATAAATTTTTAAACATCAAATAGAGCATATGACGAGTCACAAGCAAGAAAATTTCAAAATTAATTAGAAATTTGTAAATCAAATATAATAAATCTGTAACTGCATGTTCCAACAACAAAGCACAACATCAGTCACCTCAAGTCACAAAATTTGAGGAAAATCATTCGAAACAAAGTCGAGCACTGTCGTGCAACAGATCACCACCAGTAATTTTTTTTAAAATATAAATTATACACAAGAAATATTAAATTGGAATTGGAGGTATAACTTAATGTGCATAAGATTGCACACCCATAAGTAATAATTTAATAAAAACATTAAATCATAACAGAAACATTAGTAATAAATACCAATACCTGTTTTATCTTGTATTTCATTCCTTAACATATCACCTATAGAAATATGTTTTAACTGAAAGTGCTTTACTATAAAAGAGGAAATGGTACCCTTTCCCGATCCCGGGCCTCCCATTATAACGGCGTTGAATTTTAATATCGACATCTTTGCGTGTAATTACTTCGCGATAATCAATACAACACGCTTATCATTTTCTAATTGACGTTACTATAGAAATATCTACAATCACGGCAAAGTTCCGTATCGATCAGAGATACGATTTAATCTGTAAATTCATATTTATAGAAACACCAAATATACTTTAAACACTAACGACTGCCCTGCGTAATAATGTTAATTTACAAGAATCTATAATTTTCGCCACAATACGTAAATCCCTATTCATTTTTAAAGAAAAAAGTAATGGAAAACACGTGGTTACGTGTTTCTTTCCTGCTACCGGTTCCCGAATCGGGATTAAATTCTATCGGACTAATATAATTAACGACATTTTTATTAAATTGATTTAACTCTTAAAAATTATCATAATTTAATTTCAAAATCCCGCCTGTGATATAAACACTATCTTATCGTAAATTTAAATAAATATTCAATTTCTAAATCTTAATTCTTAGATGGCTCGTTTTAGTAAGATTTGCAAAAAAAATCTTGTTGTTGTTTACTTCGTGGGAAAAGTTTTGAAGAAACTGAGTGATAAAGACTTGAAAGTCAAGTTTATGAAAAAAATATTGGGATGTTTCAAGTTTATATTTCCTGAGGAGGAAAATATCAGTGATGTCACCATGGAAAATATAGTTTTAAAACTACCCCATCCATCCCAAGCAGGAGGAACGGCAAGAGCAAGCAATCATTACATTTCCCATTGATTTCACCTCATATCAGCTGGGATAAATTGCGAAAAACATTCTATTGACCAAAGAAAGACAGTTTAATTATGTGATAGCCTACTGATTGTGATATTCTTTAGTTATTGTTCTTTGTTTGAAAAGATTTGATATTCTTTGTTTTAAAAATATTGATAATCTTTAACTGTTTAAAATAGTTGTGATGTCACAAAATTCATATTATTAAAACTGTAATTTTTTAAAATTTTAGTCTCTAGCCTATCACTTTTCAGTTATAATGAAATTTGAAAACATTGAGATAGCTAATTCCAAGTTTTACATTAAAATGCGGGTAATCCCTTTCAACCCAGACATGGGAATGAAAAGGACACCTGGAGAGGTCTTTAAAAATATGAAAATGTTCAACTACCAGTATAATAGGATGAATTCACAATATGGTCAGAATAAAGTAAACGTCTAATGAATCTTTTGCACTAAAAATAAAACTGATTAGAAGTAAACTTTTTCAGTGAAAAATAAAAATATGAATTTTGTCCCTTTCATCCCCACCCTCCCTATAGTGGCTACTAATTATGCTAATAACTTAAATCTAAGATGTCAGATCTATATGTCATTTTGTAGATTAAATTGATGAATTTTATATTTATATAACATATTAAATGATTTAATGATTATTGAAACCTTAAGAAAATAGTTAAATGAATAAATAAGAAATTGATCAAAATTTTTCATTGTTTCATCAATAATAAAACAATAAGTTTACTGAAAATTTTCATTTTGATTATTATATATTATTAGAGTAAGCAAATATTAGGTAAGTATTATATATTTGTCATTCTATAAAATAATAATTTATGAAATGTAAATGGAACTCAGATTATCTATTTAGTTTCTTTCTGATATAAAAGTAGCTATATTTGAAAAAAATATTTTTATTTTTCAGATAATTTTAAAAATTTTCAAATAGAATGCACTCTCATTAATGTGAACCCATGTTTATCTGGACTCCACTTATTCCAAATCACTTTTGTTTAATTTTCTGTCAAATGTTCCAGCCATAGACAAAAAGAAATCATACATTATTTTTTGAAAATATGACAAATTTGCAAAATTAATGTTCTACATATTTTAACCATATGTACAGTACCAAATAGATAAATATATTATACAAATTTTTTTATATTATGTCTATAACCTTTTTTAACTTCCTTTCCTTTACATAGAACCCTGCTAACATGAACAATTCAGAAAAAAAAAAGCTAGTATTAGTAAACTTACTGAAACTTTAAACTGGTATTGGTGTCAGAGTTTTTTTTATTTAGTATGATCAGTTTTTTGAGTGTAGACAGAACAATCCATATACCCATCACACAGATTATATATACAGTGGAACCTCTATATTCATCATTAATCTGTTCCCAAGGACCTAACAAATATGGAATATGATGAAGATAGAAACAATTTTTCTCATAATAAATAACTGATATTCAATTAATCCGTTCCCATCTGAAAAAAAGATACAAGAATAAAAATTATTGTTTGTAAAACTTTACTGTATTTATTTAGTACAATGAAGATATAGTGGTAGAATGGAAAGAACAGTATTATTGTTTAGAAGAAGACATATCAATTAAAACATTAGGCAATTCCAATTATGATCATGGGGTCTGTTTTGCCAATGATTCAGTAGCACTCAATTTAATAAAGAACTTGTCTAGTATTGTGTTTTTTTGTCTGCTTTTTAAAACTTTTCAGAAGTAGGTAATTACATTATCATTGAATGTATTTGTATTTTGGTTGACTATAGCAACATTTGGGTGCCACTTTGGAGTGACTGGAACTTTGTTTCTCACATTGATTATTTTTCAGTAACTCAACAACAAACACGACGACCGTACAAAGCAGACTGATTAACTACAGTTAGCTAACACGGCTAGCTGATTGGCACGAGCGTGCAATTGTAGTGCCACTTCTGGTATTGGGAATGACAACGAATACAGAAAATACTGATGAGTATGGAAAAATAAAAAAGTCATCAAAATGTGATGAACATGAAATATTACAAATATAGAGGTTCCACTGCATGTATAAATATGCATTGTGCCTGTATGTGTGTATGCATGTGCATTGTCCTTTTTTACTTTCTTTTTTGACAGGTCTAAACAAAACTCTGGTAATTCAAACGATGCTGTTCGACAATCAATTTGGACCACCTCAAGAGTACTGTAATCTAATAAATTTTTAAACATCAAATAGAGCATATGACGAGTCACAAGCAAGAAAATTTCAAAATTAATTAGAAATTTGTAAATCAAATATAATAAATCTGTAACTGCATGTTCCAACAACAAAGCACAACATCAGTCACCTCAAGTCACAAAATTTGAGGAAAATCATTAGAAACAAAGTCGAGCACTGTCGTGCAACAGATCACCACCAGTAATTTTTTTTAAAATATAAATTATACACAAGAAATATTAAATTGGAATTGGAGGTATAACTTAATGTGCATAAGATTGCACACCCATAAGTAATAATTTAATAAAAACATTAAATCATAACAGAAACATTAGTAATAAATACCAATACCTGTTTTATCTTGTATTTCATTCCTTAACATATCACCTATAGAAATATGTTTTAACTGAAAGTGCTTTACTATAAAAGAGGAAATGGTACCCTTTCCCGATCCCGGGCCTCCCATTATAACGGCGTTGAATTTTAATATCGACATCTTTGCGTGTAATTACTTCGCGATAATCAATACAACACGCTTATCATTTTCTAATTGACGTTACTATAGAAATATCTACAATCACGGCAAAGTTCCGTATCGATCAGAGATACGATTTAATCTGTAAATTCATATTTATAGAAACACCAAATATACTTTAAACACTAACGACTGCCCTGCGTAATAATGTTAATTTACAAGAATCTATAATTTTCGCCACAATACGTAAATCCCTATTCATTTTTAAAGAAAAAAGTAATGGAAAACACGTGGTTACGTGTTTCTTTCCTGCTACCGGTTCCCGAATCGGGATTAAATTCTATCGGACTAATATAATTAACGACATCTTTATTAAATTGATTTAACTCTTAAAAATTATCATAATTTAATTTCAAAATCCCGCCTGTGATATAAACACTATCTTATCGTAAATTTAAATAAATATTCAATTTCTAAATCTTAATTCTTAGATGGCAGCACAGTAGTTTTCCCCCTCTTTTTATTTAAAATTTTTTTTTAAATTTTGATTTAATTCTTCATTATTTCAATCGTAAAATTATAATAATTTATTTTAAATTGTAATAGGTAAATAATATATTCAATGTACCAGTAAATGTGGCATTTGATATATACCGTAGTTTGATAAAAGTAAGTTATCGGCATATTAAAGAAAATAATATTTTTAATTATTTGCTTATTAGAATTTAAAATGAATAATAATAATTTTACGATCGAAATAATGCAGAATTAAGTTATTAAAATTTAAAAATGTTTACAAAATAAATTTATGGATCTTCGATAACTTTATTGAAGATTTACCACATAAATTTTAAAAATCCAGAAACGAGTTGCTTAACTTTCCCGGCAACATTCAAAACTGCGTGTGTGGCGCCATCTGTTATAAAAAGTTTTTAAATATCATATTTTTAATTATAAAATGGCAAAACTTTAATTTTGAGGCTAGTGATGGGTTTTATTAAAAGTTGTAAATGCTGATATCGAGTAGAATCGTCATCGTTAAGTCCGACCCTACTCGAGATATGACACGCGACCCCTTTTACTCTCCCACCCCTTGAACTTTAACCACCAAAATTTAATATCACCGATCCTCCAAATAGACAATCCTCCCTGCAAAATTTCAGAAATTTTCGACAAAACGCACAGGCGTTATTAAGCTTCAAAGAGGGTGAACAAAATCGTGCCCCCCACACAAACATACATACATACATATAGGGGGGAAACTGTTTTGCATTTCTCGACGTTTTAAGGTGTCCTAAGTCCAAAAGTTTTTAAATTCTTGGGGGTTATGTTTTTGACCGATTGGCACACTTTCCGTTATATATAACAAAGCAAGGGAAAGTAAAAATAAATTTAAAAATAATTACCACCAATAGAGATTCATTTAATATTGAAATATTTCCTGTACAAGGCCTTCCTGTTGACAAATTAGTTGTTTCATTTCCATTTAATCAGATGATGACAGATGTTCTTATTCACAAGGAAGTCAACAAAAACTATCTATCATTCATTCTACTTAAGGCGCAAAATGCGCAAATCTTTATTGGCTAACTTCTTACTTTCGCTTTATTTTAACTTAAGTATGTCCTTAAAGTTTCAGCCTTCTATCTTAATTAAAAGAATGAAATTTGAATACCTGATACAAAGCAAGTTAAAGCATTTAATAATAATAATAATTTTGGCACAAGTTATCTTGCCCCAATGTATTACAACAGATTGTGAATACTAATCAATGACAAAACCTATCTTGATCAGGTGATCTTTTAAGCTGAAAAGTGCTATGATAAATCGAAGTCTCAAGTCTCGACTCATCTGAAGATGATAAACTTTAACAGCAAACTGAAGCCACTTAAGAACAAAGTCTTTACACTGGAATAGAATAATACTAATACAAAGTAAATAATTCCATAATTGTAACCCAACTTTAAACAACCAGAACAAATTTGCAACAGATGCTTTTTGTCCCTCTTCACCAAAATGTACAGGATGATCATAA